GCTAAAGGGAAAAGGCCCATGTGTCTGCCCACCCCCATCCCAGGACAGGGATCTTTCTCAGTGAGGCTTACTGGGGCTTGTTCCATCTGGATTTAGGGAAATCGAGGTGGAGTGTCCTGAAATCCTGAAGCCGAAGAAAGAGGAGAGAGAGGTGGGCAGAGAGTGATGAAATCCCAGACTCGGGGGAAGGGTGGGCTGAGACTGGCACAGCTGAATGAATGGGCTGTTGAGATGCTAAATCTATCCCTGCTCCCCAATCCTCTATGAAGCTCCCCGGGACAATCTGAAGGTTTTCTGTCCAGGACATCACCAACTAGCCTGCTGTCACCCCAGTCATTGTGCTAGAACTAGAGAGGGAAGGGAGGTAGCCTTAATTTTTTATTGCAGAATTCTAGAATCTCAGAAAGGGAAGGGGAAGGGTACTCAGAGGCAAGCGAGGTAGCTCAAGACCTGAATTCAAATCCTGCCTCAGATACTCTAGCTGTGTGACCTTGGGCATGTCTCTTAACCTCCCTCAGCCTCAGTTTCCTCATCTATAAAACAGAGATAATAGTGGCACTTACCTCCCAGGATTATTGTGAAGATCAAATGAGAGAATATTGTAAAACACTTTCACGCAGTGCCTGGTGACACAGTAGGCACTTCACAAATGCTTGTTTCCTCCTTTCCTTCTTGTCCATACTTGAAAAATTCTAGTAAGGTGGAAAGAGCCCTGGCTCTGGAGTCAGAAGACCTGACTGGGTCTGACACATTTTGTGGGACCTTGGGCAAATCACCTAACTTTCCTGGGCCTCATTTGTAAAATGGTAGATGGCTTCCAGGGCCTTTCCCACTCTAATTCTGCGATCCTATCACCTCTACGTATCTATAATATTCAATTAGCATTATTATTATTATTATTATTATTATTATTATTATTATTATTATTATTATTACATAGGGGCAGCTAGATGGCACAGAATAGCACTGGGACTACAGTCAGGAAGATCTGAGTTTAAATCCAGCCCTGGGATTATGGGACCCGAGTTTAAAATCCTTATGTTCCACTTGCTACCCAGGTGACCAAGAGCAAATCATTTCAATTCCCCAGGCTTCATTTTCCTCATCCATAAAATGAGGAGTCTGGAATAGATGACCTCTAAGGTCCCTTCTTACTCTAGCTCTTAGATCCCATGAAATCCTTTCTGGGAAAAAAGGCCTGCATTGAAAAAAACAAGAGAGAGAGAAGTAAGTGAAAACAAAACTCAGTTGTGTTTATATCTGAACAGCCATCTTTCCCATCCAGTTTGCATAACAGAATTGGAAACTGATTTTTTTTAAAGTGGGAATGTTGTTCTGAACATGTGAAGCCTTTAGCTTTTCTTAAACACTTGGCTCTAAAAAGATGGTATTCTGTTGTGTTAGCTAGCCTTTCATTTTCCCTTCTTTTTTTTTTAATTAAACTTAATATAAACTTAATTTATTAGACTTCATTGGTATAATGAGGTTCCAGGAGACAAACACAGATTTTTTTTACCAATGCAGATTAGCACCTGAGCTGCAGTTTGTAGCCTTATATAGTTGGTAGGGGTGGGGGTGGGGGGAGAATGCTAAAAAGTTAGGTGACTTGCTCAGGGTCACATAGCCAAGAAGGTCTCTCTACCTATCGCTATAAGCGCCCCTCATTTATTTTCTTTTAAATCTCATCATATTCTTGCATCAACATGTCCTCTCCCCTTCCTGAGGTCCCAGGCTGAACTCCTGTTGAACACCATGCAGCATAATTTTGAAAGAGAACACATTGTAAACTGGATGCACCACATGGCCATAAAGCTTTAGTAAAACAAAACAGAGGGAAATAAACTACTTGAGGTTGGGACCATTCCATTTCTGTCTGTTTATCCTCAGTGTCTGACATATAGTAGGAGCTTAATAGACCTTGAATGGATGAATGAAAGATTATAATCAGGGACTGTAGCGAATGGTCACTTCCTGGAAAGAAGCTGATGCCTATGACTGTCATCCAAGGATAAATTATACCAGGTGTCCTAAAAGTCTTGGTGCAGTTTGAAGCCACTTTAAGCTATTCAAGCTTAAGACTTGGGGTGCCCCATATGCCATGATTATCTGATTTTAGTCTCCTTTCCCTAGCATGACCAATGGAGGAAAAACCACACTGACTGACAGACTCATCAAAACATTACCAAACTGCTGTGTGATCCACCAGGATGACTTTTACAAGGTAATCATCTCAAGCCTAGACAGGGTCACCATGTCACTGAAAGAAAGTATATCCTTTAGCTCAAGAGAGTAGGAGAGCTCCTCTGGCCAGTACAGAAGAAGGGAGTGCAGGGGACCTCAGCTATTTGCAGTCATGTTAGAGTGTTCCAGCCTAGAACACTATCAGTATTCCAATCCAGAACAGCACCAATGTTCCAGTCTAGAACAATGCCAATGTTCCATCCTAGAATATCATTAGCATTAGTCATAGTAGTAGTAGTAGTAATAATAATAATAATAATAATAATTATACCAAGCATTATACCTCCCTTTAAGGTTTGTGGAGCCCTTTGCATGTGTTATTTCATTTGCCATCTTGTTAGTGTTCCAGACTAGGAGAATATTAGTTTCCTGCTTAGAATAAAGTTGACAATAGTCCACTGTTCTAGAACAATGTCAGTGTTCATATGCTAGTCTAGAACTGTGTTCCAGTCCAGAACCCAGATGCTCTAACTCCAAATCCAACACTTTTCCCATCATCCGTTGCAAGCCTACACCTGAACAGCAATCTCCCCTACAACACCTACAGTACAGGAGTTAGATTATAGCTTAGGCTGGATTCAAGCTGACAGGCCTATCTGATGGCAGCTTCCCATCTGTAGATACTCGAAGCAGTCTGGGACTTTAACATGTTAGGTCTTGAGGATGGTGTCTGGCTCCCTCCCTCCTTCACTATCCTAATTCACATTCCCCCCATCCCTCTGACCTCACACACACACACACACACACACACACACACACACACACACACACACTTCTCAGCCCATCGCAAGACAGGCTTTAGGAAAGAGCAACAGAGAAAGGAGAAAGAGGAAGGTCATGGGAGAGGGCCAGAGAACCTACAAGGGGGGAGGAGCAGTAGGTCTCCTATGGTCATAGTTCTTGTCATTTGTGGCTATAAGTAACTTTAGTATCTCACCTCATACCACACACACACACACACACACACACACACACACACACACACACACAGCTTTTTGTAGAATACTCAGCACCAGAAGACTTCTTTTTTCTTGGGGGCTGGGGAGGATAGTAGAGATACATGGCAATTGTGAACAAAATACTACTCAGTCATAGCTTCCCTTGAAGGTAACATTCTGCCCAAAAAAGGGTAGACACCCCTGACACAGACCTTGCCCTCCTTCAAACAAAACACCAAACCATTCTTACCTCTGAAATGACATCTCTTACTGCTTATACACACACACACACACACACACACTCTCTCTCTCTCTCTCTCTCTCTCTCTCTCTCTCTCTCTCTCTCTCTCCCTAAGGGCCTAGTTATACCTATGTTATTCCTATGAAAGGAGACTGTGCTCAGGCTTAATCACCTTCTCCAAAGGGCCTCAGGGCCTCCTGAATTCCCGTGATTCCTAGCTTTACCAATTCCACTAACCAATGGCAGAGTGTCAGTGGAACAAGTCCTGGGCCCCAAGCTCAGATGCCTAGGCATTAAACCCAAGAGCCCCAATGTCCTCCCAGGCCCTCACTAGCCTTTGGTCCTACCCATCACCCTGCCCTGCCCCAGATGCCAAGTATCTGAGGACTTACCATTATCAGAGTTCTTTGCCCTTCAATTGCTACCTGTCTGGCTCTCCACAAACCCTGCTATTTCTCCTCCTATTTTAGGGAGATGGAAGTGGGCTGACACATGTATAAATCAGGCAAACACCCAAAGGTGTAACCCTCAGGAGTATCTATCTTCTTCTCCCTTCTCCCCCCCTCCCTCCCATATATAATGTCTGGTGCCTGAAAAAATTCCGCTGATCAGTACTGTAGCTTCCCTGAAGTCCTATTGCCTTCAACAGTTTTGTCAAGGGACTGTCTGATGACAGTCAGAGTAGTAGTGTAGTGATGGAAAGAGAACAGATCCAGAGTTGAACCTGGGTTCAGATTCCAGCTGTGTTACTTTTACTAGCTGTGTGACCACAGAGAAATCCCTTCCCCTCTCTGGTTTCCATTTGTTCTTCACTGTAAAATGCGGGGGTTGCCCAGTAGAGTGTAAGCTCCTTGAGGGGCAGGGTTATCCCATCTTTGAGTTTGTGTGCCGAGGGCCCAAAATTCCCAGCACACATAAATGGTCGTTATTTAAAAATACAAGGGGGTTGGACTAGGTGCTCTTTCAAATCCCTTCCAGCTCTAAGTCTGATAATATGGTGGTCATCCCGAGATTTTTAGGGGACTAATAATTCTGAGTTTGCAGCAATGTTTTATTGCTCACTATATTTCAGCCACAAGATCAAATAGAAGTCGGGGAAGACGGCTTTAAGCAATGGGACGGTAAGGACAGTGTCTGCTCTAGGAAGTGTATCTTTTTTTTTCTGTCTTTTTTAATGTGTAGCAATGTTTCTAGCTAATGGTACACATTCTACATTTCTGTGTGCCCGTGCCTCCAGTGGCCTCCGCTTCTAGCCACCCTCTTTTGCCTTCCCAGTGTTGGAGTCTTTGGACATGGAGGCCATGCTGAGCACGGTCCTCGCGTGGCTGAACAACCCCATGAAGTTTGCCCGCACCCATGGGGTCGACATCCAACCCAACTCCCAGGAGTCCGGCTCCGATGACACCCACATCCTCATACTGGAAGGCTTCCTGCTCTACAGTTACAAGTAAGAGGCTAGGGCCATTCTCAGAACGCGTTCTCTTTCCATTCTCGACCAAGGTCTTTCTATTTCCCAAGTCATGCTGCAAGGACCTAGAACTCCCTCCAGCATGCTCGCTCAGATCACGATCCATCAGTACCTTAGCAGACAATGCTCGAGAACTCCTGTGGCCTCCCACAACCGACACCCGATGGCCATTCTTCCGGTTGGGTGATGAGCGCTCTACCCTTGGCTCAGCTAGGCTGGTACTCAGACAACAGGCCTCAAACCCATTCCAGCTTGGTGAGAGCCATTAGACCTTCACTGGCATAGCCTTGAGAATCCCCAGCTACCTGCACACAGGATATAATGATAAATGTTTATCAACTTCTGCTCTAAAAAAAATGCACACACAATGTAACTCTTAGTTTATTTTTCTCCTTCACTTTCTTAAGTCTTGACAATCAACAAAACAACAAACCAAGCCCTGGTTTATACAATTTGTTAGTTTTCCTTTTTAAGTTTTAAAATTTTTTTTTAATTTGTTGGTTTCTGAGCTCCAAATGCTCATACTAAAAATTTAACGATCAGCTCTCAGAGACACGGTTCAAGCTGGCTCCAGCACATCCTTGTCTGTAATGAAGAGGATGTGAGTGGAGCTGGAGGCCACGTGGTGCAGGGAAAAGAGTACTGGATTTGGAATGAGAGGCCCTGGGTTCAAATTTCACACCCCATCTGTGTGATCTTAGGCAAGTTACCTAACCTCTCTGGGTCTCAGTCCCTTTCTTGTAGAATGAGGAGGCTGAACTTGATGACCTGCCTTCCAACTATGACTATATGATCTGATTATGATGATAATATATTATTATTATATTATTTTCTTAGTATCATACTAAGAGTAGAACTTAAATGATTCTCTGTTCAATGAAGTAACATAGTACAGTGTAAAGTCAGAGGACCTGGGTTCAAATCTCATCTCTAAGGCTTACTGCTTGTATGACCTCGGGCAAGTCCCTTAATGTCCCTGGGCTCTTAGTTCCTTCTTCTGTAGAATAGGATTTTGCACTAGACAGCCTCTCTGCTCCCTTCTAGCTCTTCATCTATGGTCCTATCACTCTACGGTCTCCTCTGATGCCTCTTCCTAGCAGGGAAGTAACCCTGGGTTCAGGGAAGTTATGCCAGCAGAGGCCCAGACACCGCAGGGCCTTGTCTGACTCTTCATGACCACCTTTGGGGTTTTCCTAGTCAAAGCTACTGGAGAGGTTTGCCATTTGCTTCTCCAGATCATTTTACAGATGAGGAAACTGAGGCAAACAGGGTGAAGTGACTTGCCCGGAGGCACAGAGCTAGTGAATGTCTGTGGTCACATTTGAACTCAGGTCTTCCTGATTGCAGGCCCAGGGCTCTATACACTGTACCACCTAGCTGCCTACTACAAGGCCTCCCAAGCTAGAAAGGTTGGGACCTAGTCTGGTGATGGGCTGCTGTCTGAGGCTCAGCCTTGCTAAGTGGGGAAAGACTCATCAACCCAGAGAACTATTTGTTAAGACAGGGATGATGAGGAGGAGGATGCCATGAAGTACTAGCCCATAAAACCTTGACTAACCAGCAGCACTCTCATACCACCACAATGTCCACTTTGAAAGAACAAAAAACAAGCAGCTAGGTGACATAGTGGATAGAGCACCGGCCCTGGATTCAGGAGGACCTGAATTCAAGTCCGGCCTCAGACACATAACACTTACTAGCTGTGTGACCCTGGACAAGTCACTTAACCCCACGACCTATCCCAAAAAAAGAAAAATTTTAAAAAAGAACAAAAAACTACTCAATTTGTTTATTGAAAACTAAATCCCTCATCTCAACAACTCCCAGGAAATGCCTGACATAATATGGATCTGAGCCCACTCAATCCCTTCTTCAGGGGGAGGCCTCAAACTCTGATTGAAGAGGAGCCTGTGACCTTAATTAAGCAAGACCCCTTTCCTCTCTGGGCCTTCCTCATCTATAAAACAAGGGGTTTGGACTTGATATTACATCTGAGGGTCTCTTTCCATCTTTCTCTCTTTCCATCTCTGACATTCTATGAATTTATTTCCCATTTCTCCAAACCCTATAGAGGAATGCCTCAGGGGGCTGAAGTGATGCTGTCAGTAAAATCCTAGGGTCAAATGGAGTAGGGGAACCACTGGAGGCTATGCTCCCTCCCCACTGGGAATCCCCAGCTGATTCAGGGGGAGGGGCCTGGTGGGGTCATGTGCTTGAAGCTCTTTCAGGGAAGACTTCAAGACTTTCTAGTAGGGTCAGATAGGTGGCTCAGTGAATAGAGCACTAGCCCTAGAGTCAGGAGTTCAAATCCAACCTCAGACACTTACTTGCTGTAAGATTCTGGGCAAGTCACTTAACCCCTCCCTCTTCCCACCCCACCCCCCTCATTGCCTAAAAAAAAAAAAAAAAAAAAAAAAGACTTGTTGGTAGATTCCAATTATCTTCCAGGGGAGCCCTGACCTGTACCTATAACCTCACAACCACTATGGAGGTTCAGAACAATAAGACACCCTTTGATACCTTCAAAGACAACTTGGCCATGTTCACTATACCATCCTTTGCAAAAGAGAAAAGTAAATTGTTTCTGAGCAATTGTAAAAAAAAAAAATGAGGTTCCCAATTAGCCCTCGTTCAACCAGAAATTTCAGTTACAAGGGACATCTAATTCCCCAAACACATTCATTCAAGTTTGGTGAGGCTGCACCTTGAGTTTTGAATTTGAATTTTTCAAAGGGCTTTGGATGCTGTCACTGAAAGTTCACAATCTGTGAAGTAGGCAGACCCAAAGCTATTGCAAAGATGAAAAATGGAGACCCAAAGAAGTTAATCAATGTACCAAAAGTCACCCAAGAAGTCAGTGGCGGAACCCAGTTGCTCCAATGCTTGAATGGATCCCATCATCTCATCAAGATGTTTACTCTCCTCCATAAGGCAGATCCAGTCTGTCTCCAAATCTTTTCATCCTGTGTGACCCTTGTCCATGCCCTCCCACAGATCCTCCGGAGAGAATTATTCAATTTGCTAGAGGCCTTCCTTTGGTGGGTTTTGTATTCTTTTTTTTTAATGTTTTGTTAGATACAATCTAGTAACTAAAATATATGTACATATATAATTGCCTTAGATTTAAATTATTTTTTATTTCCTTTTTGGCTTAAATAAAAATGGTTCCTTTTGGTAAGTAATTCATAACTTAACTATTTTCTCCTATGGGGGGAAATCCACTCCCTCACCATAGGACTCATGTTCTAAGCTGCATCCCCATCACTGAGATGGGCAGTACCGAACCATTCACACTCCCTCACCCACATCCCATCACAATTACTGGCACATAGTAGAGGTCGGAGGTGCAGAAAAGAGCCAGTTCTCCCCCTGGAAGCTCCAGCTGGTGTCCTCAGCCTCATCAGCACCAAGCTGTGGCCACTAAAAATATTGGTCTAAACACCCCAAATCTTAAATAAGCAGAAAAATTTCCAGCCCGTCAAACCCAACTAGGGATTCAGAGGCAGTGCCATATAGGGAACAGAGCCTTGGATCTGAAGTCTGGGGTCAAAGCCTGACTCTGAAATGAGTGAGTCTACACAAGTCATTTAACCTTTAAGAGCTTCCTTTTCTCCATATGTCAAATATAGATCATCCCTGTTGCACCTTTTTTAGAGTTGTTGCCAGGATTAATTGAAATAATATATGCAAAGCACTTTATAAATTTAAAGGTGTTTTATAAAGACCTAGTGGTGGCCAAGTCTTTATACTGCCAGCCCAAATCCCAATCCCATAGAATGCCTGAGGGCCGGTGAAAGGCAAACTATCTTTGCAGTGATGGGCAATCATCATTAGAAACACTAACCATCCGTCTCTCTGTCTCCCCTGCTGCCCAGGCCCTTGTTGGACTTGTACAGTCGCCGTTACTTTTTGACTGTCCCATATGAGGAATGCAAGAGGAGAAGAAGGTAAACTGAGACCCCAGGCATTGGGCCAGTGAACAAACCTTGCCCGCTGCCTCCCACAGTCACCTGGGGGACTTAGGCACCTGGGGACAGAGGGGATGGGAGTAATGCAATCAATTTACAGCTGTCTTCAAGTATCTGAAAGACTGTAGTAGGGAAGATTAGCCTTGTTCTGCCAGGTCCCAAAAGACAGGACTAGGAGTGATGGCGAGAAGTCGCAGAGAGGTGTATTTGGGCTTGATATAAGGGAAACTGCCTCAGTTAGAATTAGAATTGTCCAAAAGTGAAATGGGCTTCCTGATAAGATAATGAGTTCCCCATCTCTTGAGGTCTTCAAGTGGTGGCTGAATGGGCACCAGTCAAGGATATTGTAGGAGGAGTCTGACTCAAGAACAGGTTGATTCTTTGATCCTATTCAAGCCAATCATGTGTGCAGCAAACATGTGTGAAGGCGCTGTGGACGAGGCCCTATGATCCATTAACCAATACATGTTGGGCACTGAGCAGCCAAGATGCTCACAATCTAACAGGTGAGGTAAGACACAACCAACTGATATAACCAACTTTCCACGGCGGAGGGGCAAAGGAGCACAGAGAGTGGGAGCTCAGGCAGAAGATACGGCAGCCTTCTCCTTGTCTTGCTCCAAGACATGAGACACACCTCCCTTATCCCATGTTCTCTGTGGTCAGAACCCCATGCAGTGGCCAAAGAGAAACTGAAAACAGAAAGTATGGCCAAGAACTTGTTGGTTAAGATGAGGCGTCTCTGTCTCTGGGCCAAAATGCTATGCCCCACATTGGAACAATTCTTGAACCTCAACCCAGGATTGACCTGTGTTGCCTGGAGACTAAGAGAGGAAAACACTGAGCAAGGGCAAATTCCCACCCACCTGACACTTTAGGGAATATGTGGGAAGGGAGCAAGGATTGGGAGGGAGAGGAGGAGGTTCCAAGGCCCACAGTGACAGCTGTGCTGTGAAAAAGATAAGAGTCTTGGCCTCAGAATCACAGGATCTCAGCATTGGAAGGGACTTCAGAAGTCATAAGATCTGGTTTAAAGATAGAAAGAAACTTATGAGATATCTACTCTAACCCCCCTCATTTTACAGATAAGGAAAATGAGGCCCAGTGAGATTAGGTGAATTGCCCAAAATCACATTGATAGTAGGTAGCAGAGCCAAGATCTGAATTTGGGTCCTCTGACACCAAATCCAGTATGCTTTCCATTGTCTTATCCAACCCATACCTTCTCTCTATAACATCCTCTAGGAGTCATTCAGCTTCAAGAGCCTTCAGTTCAGAACACAGCTCTCTATCACATACTAAGTGTGTCACATCCCTTAACTGCTCTAGGCCTCACT